CTGAAAAACGGAACGTAATCTATCTAAGCTAACCGGTTTTCCATTATCACAACAGTTTTCCAGGAACTGTCAGGGCGTGCATGCATAAAATAAATGTATTACGTGGCCTCTGTTTGCTGCAAGGAATTACCTAGGAAAATGGCGGACTTGCATACTGGTTACCTGGCCTTCAATAAAGCTACGTTCGTGCAACGGTATGAATATGGAGATTATTTGCTAGGACCCTAATTATTGTCAAATGGCTTTTGTTGTTTAACGTTTCGTCTGATTCAAGTACTACTTCTATTTAAAAATATAGCATAACTATTGTTTTTCACTTCTGTATTATGTATTATTCATAAGTATGAAAGTTATTGATTGCATCTATATGGACATTCATCTTTTATATAATAAATACTATTAGACTTAGGACGCCGCACTCAAGTGCGACTGGGCCTGGGCGACGATGGCGGGACGATCTAGACGGCTTCCGAAAAGACTGATCCGAACTAGCACACGACAGAAAGATGTGGAAAAGAGAGAGGGAGGCCTTTGTCCTGCAGTGGGGCAATACAGGCTAAAAAAAAAGTGAAATAATTAGGTCATTACACGCTTTATATAGATTTTATAAGAGATACTGGTGTTACTGCTGATGAATGATTTTATGATTCAAAACAAATGATTGACCTGTGTTTTAATATTCTAAAAATAGGCATTTAGCGTTGCTATTTTTGACAGATCTTAATAAAAGAAATACGTCCTAAGTAAGTAAATAAATAAGTAAAACTATTTTTGTACAGCATCTGTAATTTTTTATTTACTAAGTTGCTCCATACCCAATAGACTAGGGCGGTGTATGCCAACACTTACCAAACCTAATAGTAGTGTTTTTTTTTTTTTTATAAAATGTGACAAATAAAGGCTTGAAAAATTACGATGACATTTAAAGAAGATTTCTTCCATTGTTTGCTTCAAAATAACAAAGAAATTTCAAGGTAATGTGATTGATGTCATGTGAATTTTTTGAAACTTTGTAACCCTCCCACTGCTTTATGTTACGCTCAAACCGTCTGATGTCCTTTAAATACACACGAATGTGCATCAACTTACCTTAATCTTATTAATTATCTCAACTTAACTTAATCTTACAAGCTCGAGTATATTTTTATAACTAATCTGATGGGCTGCCCTAGACGATACCCCCATACTCGTATGTATGGTGAAGGTACTCAACTGGATGTGAGGTATTCCTCCTATGTTAATCTGACACGCTCGAGTAAATCCCGAAATTCCGAAACCCCATCCCATTTATAGTAGGGGAGCACACCTTCATCGCGAATTCTATGCATTGGTTACAACTCATTTATGAAAATCATTCGGTAGTTTTGGAGATAAACAAACTATACAGATATGTAGACGCGACAGACGATTTGATGTTAGTTATATTTAGGAATGGTGTTGTGTAGTGTAATGCATAACTTAATTTATTTAACAGGCAAAATAGAAACCCAAAAGTATATGTAACTAAAAATTTGAATTTTAAATCATATTTTTACCCTTTTTAGATGAAACTTTTCAACTAGTTGTGTAACGAAATCGAGACTCTTATTATTAGGGTGCCATGCAAATCGTAAAACATTTTGAATAGTCGAACTATGAAACTTTGTACGTGAAAGTTGCTTATACTTACTAAGGCAAAAGTAGACACTCATACGGCCATCTTATAAATAACTAAACACGTTTACGTAATTGATAGCTAAGAATTTCTAAGTCTGCAAAAAATATACACTAAACAGACATTGAGCTCAAATAACGTGTGTTTTTTTCTTGAATAAAAGACTAATGTGCAAAAAACGTAGTTTTTTTGCCTACAATGTTAAACTTACTTGCCATTTATTATAATTCTTGGACAAAACGTGGATCAGAACAAATGCTTTCAATCTAATAGTAAAATTATAAAAAAAAGTATACAATTTTTTTCTACAAATCATTTTTGATAGTGTGGTCCATCGACTACTATAGCTGCGAATCGCCTAGGAAACTACCTCAGGAATGTATATTGGTCTTAAACTTGTTTATAAGCCTAGTGGTGTAAAAATTAGACCAAGATTGGTGATGCAAATGTCTCCACAGTTTTGCAAAAGTCCGCAAAATTTATTGCAGTTATACTAAAAGTGTATTAATGATCTAAAAAATCTTAACTTGACTCTGATAGTGCAGTCAATTAATAGTTCTATTAACAGGCTGTCAGCACCATATCCCTTCCAGTGGGTTACTATAATCTCAGACCACATTCGTCCTACATTCACCCCCCTTCTCCGATCAACTGTCTCGACTTGACGGCCATTACCCAACCGACCGCTTGCGCGTTCTACAAACTCCACACTACGACACCATAACAACCAAAGCCTCTATCAGAATATAATCGGTTCTTATTTCAAAGCATTACGGTTGAAAATATAATAAAATCATTACAGAGTATAAACAAATTAATGTGGTTTCATCTACTCGACGCGCTGTTTACACTCCTCGCCCATCGATGTTCGTCATATAATTAATTCGATATTTGAACGCGGCAAAGTGCTGTCATTCTATTAAGCCAGTGTTTTACATGTTTTTATTTTTCAAAGTTTGTGCTCATGAATTTTTTTTTATTAGTTATGGTTCGGATGTTTCAAAAAATTATAGTGGACATATGTGTAATATTTAATATTTAAAAATGTGTTTTTACCTATAAATTGGGTAAGTCAGTGATATTTGCAATGCGGTGCAATAATATGTAAAAAAGATGTTGGCCAGCGAGGAGGCCAGCGTCGAGTTGGTGCAAAGGTGGCTGCAGAGACGCGGGAGTGATGACATCGAAACAGGTTAATATGTAGATAATTATATTAAATAATATGTTTGTTTTAATAAATACATTTAACCGACTATTTTAATATAACAAATCCATTCGTATTTCAAAACGAACTGAGAACTGGTTGGAATGATGTTTTTCGTGTAGTGATAATAATAATTGACGAGTTGATGACTCTAATGATTCTGTTGTTAACGATTATTTTTTAATTACAACATTTTTGTATTAAAAAACATCTACTTCAAGCTCCTGGTAATAAGAATTTAAAAAAGAAATTATCCTAAGGATGAAAAATTACTCAGGCAAGCTTTTGGAGGTTTTATTTAGGTATGACTATAATAATGAGATATTTTCTTTTAACTAGTTATTTTTAACTATTTTACTTAAATATTGAATAACTCCAATATAAAGTTCATATTTAACGAAATCATTCTATTTAATTGTTTATTTTGTTAAAAAAGATTTCAAGTTGTTAAAAAAAATCACAATTAATTGCCTTATACAGTACAACAATGTTCTAGAATAAAAATGTTAAAAAATTATTGTATGTTAGCAGTAAGTATCGTATGTAAATATCTATCTAAGTAAAAAAATCAAATGTAACAGCTGACACAAAAATAATTACGAACAGTTTTTGATACGTAAGCGAAAACAAGGTAGAGCATATCTACCTATTTTCAATTTGTTGTCTAAACGCTATTATTCAGAGCAGTAAAATTAAAATTTTATTTTCAAGGTTGTACAATAATGACGCTTACATAACCTCAATAGATTTATTTTATAAACGCTTGGTGAGATCGCATCGTTCATTGAAAACCATGGCAGAAGAACTTGGAAAGCCTTGATCCATCGACGAATTTTTTCTTGGCAAAAATAAATTAAATCTTCTTGCGACATTTAATGATTTTATATACTCTCGTTCTTTATATATATATATATATATATGTATATATATATATATATATATATATATATATATATATATATATAATATCATTGGCGTAATTTATATCTTACGCACTTTTAAAATAAAACCTCAATGAGGTAGGTGTTTTACTGGATTTGCACGAGTACCTAACACATGTAATATTTAGATAAATATTTATTTAAGTAGGTATCTTTGGTAAAGATTCTTATTTAATTTTTATTTAACTACAAAAGAAAGAGATCCTTTTTGAGTATGATTATTATTAATTAATCAAATGAGTTATAATAAATATTTAAAAAAGTGTTAGTTATCATCTTGTCTTGTATAGTTAATAGACAAGATGACTGATAGATTTGACTGCACGGATGGCGTAATGGTTTAACCGGTCGCCAAAAACCACTTCCTACTGTACTGAGTGTTGTGGGTTCGATGCCCACATGGGACGACACTTTGTTTGTGTGTGACACAAATTGTTGTTCAGAGTCTGAGTTTTCTTTGTGTCCGTTTTATGTATATTCGCAAAGTCCCCCGCTACAAAGGATATATTCCTAGTGCGGGAGTTGTCTTTTTAAGGAAAAAAAAAAGATACGATACTTAACCATATCATCCTCATTATCACTATTATAGGTATTCATATATAATTAACAAGACAACACGCCTATTGGAAAACGGATACCAGTCAACCACCAATGTGTTAGCACTTTAAATTAGACGTTCTGGTACTGAAAGCCATTGGTATCACAAAGTGCATCACTGTTCTATTATTTGGCCATTATTATCTTAATTTCAAATGTCGAAGTTCATTTTTTTTTTCATTTCCTAGCAAGAAAATCTCTTGACAATATCTTAACCGTGGGAGAGTCGTGCAGTGATATCGTAGCTAGACAGAGAACCGGTGTTAGGTCATTCTTTCGTTACTATTCACCGAGTTAGTGAGTTTATCAGAGCCCAAACTCAAGCTCTACTGTTTCTGGGAGGGGAACTCAAAGCACCCAACGGATTTGTGACTCTTGAGTTCCAGATCTCCATGGGCGGCGGTAGTCATTTACCATCACCCGGTGCTGGTGATGGTGACCCAGGAAACCCATCTGCTCGCTGGTCCCTTAAATAAAAAAAACAACGTACTGGCCAATTACCTCAGGCTTCCTTATACGTCACGAATGGCCGTCACATTTCAATCACTCAAATGATTATTTGCTCTAATTTGATGTACTTAAGTCCGGTGTTTGTTTGTCGCAGGCAGCTCGAGCGGTTCGCCGGGTGCGCGTGCCGGCCGCCGCTCGTCGCTCGCGCTGACGCCAGAGGATGAACCCCTAGTTGATATCGCCGTAAGTACTGCCTGTAACTTAATCACTATGCCACCAAATATATTAGAAACTTTTGTTACATTTTTTTTTACTTTGACCAAAATTATCCTATATGTTTCATCCCCATTCCGATAAATTAATTCATAATGAACTAAAATTATAAATCAAATCAATATTCGTACAAAACGACGTCTATATCCTATTAATTTTAAACAATTTGTTACAATGAAAGTATTCCACATTGATTAATTCAGGACTTAGTGCGGATCTAGTGGCCGGTGATATACAAAAAACCTGTAAAAAGACTTTCCAAAAAAGAAAAGTTAATAACTTAAAATTAAAAAGGAATACGACTCACAACATATACCAGACATTTCAACGACTCTGTGCTAGGAGCTATATCAAATGTAGTGAGTACGAGGCTAACGTGTTTCCGTGAAATCCACAACCTTTTAACGAAATTGCATGTTTTTTCTCTCCCTCTAATGACTCATAACAAACACACTAACACTTTTATAAGATATGTATGGGTGTGAAGTGTCATGTATTAGTTTAAATAAATTTTAATAACTTTCATTTGGTTATAGCGAACAAATTAATCAGAATTCCGTATGTTTCATAGGTGTCTCTTTTTTCTTTGTTTTATGAGTATAATATATAATTTGTTGTTACGAGCTCGTATCTTACTACTTACTACTACTATAAATGATAAAGTTTGAATGCATGTTTGTTCAAACAAGCACACCAAAACGGCTGAGCGGATCTTGATGTAATAGGTCCTAGAGACATAACATAGTAGTACTAGCGGTCCCAACAGACGTTGTCCTGTACACTAAAAGACCAAGTCCTGTACTTAAACTAAAAAAACATGTTGTAGTTGACCGAATTGTGAATCTAAACCATTCTCGAATCCACTTGAACACACAAAAAAATTCATCAAAATCGGTCTAGTCGTTTAGAAGGAAGGCAGTCACATACACACGTGCAGCGCGCATAATAACTATATAAATATATTAAGATATTATCTGAAATAGCACTTTTTATCCCTGAAAATGTGTCAAATCGAGGTCTTTTTCAACACAAATAAACTACACTGACAGAACTTTAAATTTGTTAATATTGGAAACATTGTTTTTATCTGTATGCGGGATATAATAAAATAAGATTTTTATATAATTTGAAAAATATATGTATAACTCAAAAAGTATTCCTATAATGACCGTTGTTGGGCACGCAATCGTAGCCATTAAAAAATCAGTTAAAGCCGATTTCGTGACATTCAATAAAATATTAAGCCATAATATATAGTGCTCATACTACTTAGCATATGATACAAGACCCAAATATGAATGTTCTCAATTAAAAATTTTTAAATCGCAAGATTGAATTGATGATTAAGTTTTGGCGCCACTCCAATCTTCGGAATGAAGGTTAATAACTGCTGGTGACGGACATTTACGTGTGATTTATATTAAACTGAAGATTAAGTTACAGATGAAATCATGCATATTTGGCGCCCTATGGCTTACATATATATTTTCACCATCATCATCAACAGCCTTTAATAGTCCACCGCTGGATATAGGCCTGTTCTTAGAAGGAGGTTTTGGCCTACTATTTCGGCCTACTATTTTTATTCTGGCCAGACAGGTTGGTATAGGGTTTGTTTCAAGTTCCCTGGCTCTCTTACGACACCCACGGGATAAATAGAGGCGGTGACACTTCGTATTCTTAATCCGTTAGCACACGGATATATTTATATTAAAGCCTTCATTAATTTCTTTATCCTGCAAAGTATTTCTAAGCACACCCTATAGACAGAGATCAACAATTTTTTTTCCGGATTTTATCACCCAGGATAGTAAAGTACCTTTATCCCACAAAGAATAGCAGAAAACCACACTTCTAACTTAATTTTTGGCTTCCATGGAAAATAGGAACAGAATATAATAATGTGGATTATTCTAATACCTTTAAACAAATCAACACACAACAATCATGGGTCACCGTTCAATAGATAGTATAATACTTATTTGCAATTACCATGTTTAAACATAAACGCTACAAAGAATTCAATGCATATATGTGCAAATACCGTTTTTAAAACGCGTGCTTTTTTAAAGAGGAAGTCTTATGTTCTGTCTGACCTGCAAAGGAAAAAAACATGAAATCAAAGTAGTCAATTAAAACATCTATCTTATAGAACCATCTGTAGGACAGACGTTGAGGGCCAAATTCATGCAGTAAAATTTGTCGCAAAATTCGCTTCGAATGATATACAGATGACGGACTCAGATGACTGATGATGAATAGTCCACTGCTGGACATAGGCCTCTTCTAAGGATACAGACATAATATATATAAATTACACTCAGATACAGAAAACAACTGATCATGCTCATCACACAATATTCGGGCAATGGAAATCGAATCCACAATCACTGGCTCAGCAGTCAGAATCGCTAACCACTAGACCAAGAGGCCCGACTTTTACTAATTATTTGAGACTATTTAAATTTTGATTTCATTTCTATTTCAAGTCGTCACAAAATTATATTTGATTTTTATTCTTGACACTGTTCTACTAACTGTTGCTGTTATGTGTTTCCGTTATCTCGCCTCGCCAAGAATTCGATGCGCATCCCACTGTTCTACATTCTAAGTTCCTTCACACTTTAGATTTACATTAGTCGAGGTGTGAATGTGATTGTGCGAGCGTGTACGCACTCACGAATTGCGAATAAGGCTTGAAGCATTATATTCTAATGTATTTCGTAGTTGCAATGATATGAATAATGATAATAATATAAATGTATATACCAATGCTTAGGTACTAAATTACTACCGCCACCCATAACGAACACCTACAACTTAAGAGTCGAAGAGTACGTTACCACGCTTTGAACCCCCCCCCCCCCCCTCCTTCTCCTCATAAAATAGGGAAAGGAAGGGCTACCGGAGCCCAAGCTACCCCAGCTTTAGCTCCGGTAGCCTCACGCACTCGTTAAAAAGCAAAAAAACAATTGCATAACACATGTTCGAACCGGTCACGGTTCTCCCACGGCATATTATATACCTTACACATCTTACACACGATCCCAAACTAAGCAGAGCCTGTACTATGTAAACTGACTGCTGATAAGAATTCTTATACATTTCTAAATACACACATATTATATATAATTACACCCAGCCAGAAAACAAATGATTGTGCTCATCATACAATAATTCACAACCTCTGTTTTGTCAATAAAGATGAACTACTGTTACTGTGTCCTTTCAAACCTATCGCAAATTACGAATGAGGTTATCATTGTGTTCGATTTTTTTAATCTGTTCTTTAGTATATACGGTTGTTTTATGTGACCTTCTTAATGAGACACTTTTAGATTTTCAACAAAATTATAGTAACTACTATGACATCTTCTCTGATTATTTCATATGCTTGCATTTAAAATTTTCATAACATGTAACATCTTTTATCTCACTTTGCATGCAATCTGTGGAAATGATTTCGTGAAATGAGTCCGAAGTATGGTAACAGAAAGCAAAAGAAGCGAGAATTATTTGAGTTGACAAATTAGCACGTGCAGTGCAAGGATGTCAATGTTACATATCATTCACTCATTTCTTCTTACAATACATGTATTACGAAATTCAGTTGTCTAATTCACAGTCTGGTAATTAAAACCTATTTGCAACATCACAAGGTCAATGAAGAAGCGATACGGCTGTACTGTGTAATTACTTTGTCAAACAAGTCGTCATACGCATAATTTGTGATCGTCTGATCCTCGCAAGTCCAATAGTAATACGGGATTAGTTATAGGGTAATTATTAGTTATAGCAGGTTCTTGAGCATAGCAAAATACCTGTTTAATTGCTACAAGAGAGCATGTTTAGTCGTTGTCGGATAGTTAGGTCCTTAGTGCTTACTGGTTCACTTATTAATGTCATATTTATAGTAGCTTTTTCTTCTAACTTTATCTAAGCTTTTATTGTTTCAAAGAGTTTTTAGGTTTATTATAATATTAAACATCGATGTATTATATGGCTCAATTATTTTAATATTCTTATATGGATATGGATGCTATGTGCACTTCTTTTTTTGATTATTCTTTCCTTTACTTCCATGTTCAATATTTTGCCCATTTTAATAATACCTAAGTTTCATGTAGTTACGAGTAGTAGTCGTTGTCAGTGGTACAGAAATGGGCACATGACTTTCATTTAGAAAAAAAAACAAATAGTGTGCTGGAACTATACCTAAATTGATTTACAAGACCGACATTAGTCCGAAAGAAGCTGCGTGCAAAAGTTTTACCTAACGTCTAAAGTATGAGTTAAATATTAACATAATACAATATTTGAAAGCTCTTATCATAAATAAAAGTTATTTGAATGTAAAAGGTGTAACTAATTTTTCTGTGGCACTCACTGGTGTGATTCCTTTGAATGTAATGAATTTGAGAGAAAGCATGTTTATTCTACTTAAAATTATGTACTAAGATACTTTGTCTTACTTAGTACATCTGGTTTTCCACTATAGCTCTTCTATCGAATCATATATCAGTTTTGGGTTTGCTTCCGAATACAAGTTCCGACATGGGCATCATATAATACACGTGTGTGGACGAGGATTCCTCGTCCTATACACGTCAGTAAATAAAGGCATTGTGCGATCGCCTCCATTCTGGCAATTAAGATCAAAACAATAAGCTGTCTAACCAACCGAAAACAAAAGTTGATAATATAAAAGAAAAGTCATCCTAAACCAAATTAATAGTAGATTTGATAGTTAATCATAAAAAGATAATGATTCAGTAAGCTAAATTGAAGCGTTAAAAACACTCTACATGCCAAAAATGAAATAGCTTTAAAGCGTGCCTTACTCAAATCTGTATGGCTGATTCTAAGCCAAATTAAAATTAGAATCTGTATAAAAAAAGAAAAGTACCGTTACCAAATTTAGTTTACCAACAGTAAAACCAAATTTTCTAAATGCAAAATTGAATAAATAGGAGTCACTCTACCGAACTTCAAGAATAACAACGATGAAGGACCACTCCCTCTTTACGATGATGCTCGTTCAGACACAGCACAAAGCACACTCACTATCAATGTGTGGAATAAAGAAGACTCTAGACAACTTTTGGCTATATTCAGTTAACAGACTCTGCTATAAATAATTTAATTTCGGAATTTGGATTAATTTTTCGGAGAATAATAGTAAAATTTGTTAAGCACCAATAATGGTTATGAAAAACATCGTTTAAATGTTAGAGATTTCAGATTTTCATCCATAAAAAAACTACCAGAGCATCAGAGTATGAAAAGAACCACTACTTTTTATAATACCTTACGTATAAGTACAGGCGAGTTCATTTAATTTACTGGTTGATCAGCTGCCACTAGGGACAGAACCCTCACAATTTATAATTCTCTCTATGTAGGTACATATTAGGCGTAATCAATGCCGTCTTAATCGATAAAGTCTTATCAAATGACTACAATAAGTTATAATATTTCAGTACGATTTCTAACTCGAGTCATGATAGACACAAGAGTGGTTCGTAGTGGAAAGTGGATTAATGGTGCTTAAGTTTATAAATTATTTGTGAAGTAAGTAGCGATGTTGACCATTTTGCACAAGAAAAATGAAAGTCAGGATCTGTGCCCAATTTTGTGGCGACACGTTCAGTACATGGAGTTAATAAGACGATTTTAAGCGTCTTCACCCTGTTTATGAAGCTTTTTGTGTCGATGAGCCGATTTAAATGCATTAAGTAACTTTTTTCTGTAAATGAAGCAACATGTGAAGATATCGGCGTCCATTAAAACCATCACTATCAGAAATTTTATTATCTTCCTAATCGCTAATGTTGGGATTGGCATTGATTTAAATTGGAACAGATTTCCCTATCACCGGAACGGAAAAATAAAGAAGTCTAATACGTGAGTGCATAATATAAGTAATTATTATAAAAATAATTTCACTATGGATAACAATACGAAACAAGAAACAAAAACGGAACCAGTTATCAAAGACGCAGGTTGTTGGGTACGTTTTAAAAATTTCTTTTCCGACAGAGGCTTCGATTTAGAGTATGAATATCCTACACATAGTTCCAGGACTATTAATTTACTAGGAGAGAATCGAGAAACCGAAATCGAAGGCTATAGAACAATAGAGGAAAGAAAACTGTCGATTGGTAAAGATAAAGAGAGACAACTTTCCAACTCTTTAGTCAATGTGGATGATGAATTGGGTGGTGTGATTAATTTTTATGAACAATTTGCGATTTTAGTCGATGATGGAAAAGAGGAAGTCAGTTCCCCCGAAGTATTTAAGAAGACAACTAGACGTCGAGTATCTTCGAGACCTAGTGTTCTTTTGACTAATATAACTGAGGAAGGTGATGGTGAGCTGGATGATATTGAAGTGGTAAGTAAAACTCATCATGAATTTGGTTAGTAGAGCGGTATAAAAATGTCGAAAATGTAGAGAGTTTTCACCTACAGATTCCAGATAACTAAAGTGACTAATGATGATGACAAACTTTACAAATAACGAAAATATTTTATAAAAGTTTAGTCATCAACATCATAAATATGGTAATTAAATAAAGACAAATAAACCTGAAAAAGTGTTTAATTAATTTTTTGGAGATGGACATTGTTTCAAACTATACTCCTAAACCTTTAATACTTTTATTTTTGATAGCTATTTTATCCTATTATTGATGCTGACGTATACAAATACAAAAAATCTAATGTATGATCTTGCAACTCAGTGTTACGTGCCCCCGATTAATATTGAGACTTTTTATTGCTAACCCATCCAGAAATAAGCTTAGAGCAAAATGGCTTACATACGCTGATTATTTGTCTATACGTGGAGCATTGTATTTGAGCAGAACTAGTTAGCATTCATTCTTACACATCGCAGTCCGTTAACACCACCGAGTGCATTAAACAAGTTTACGTAAGAGGTCACTGGCTTGAGTCTTGTAATTGAAACCGAATAACTAGTTTGTAATATCTTAATGAGAATCCAAAGGAAACTAGTTTCGAATAAATTATACGAATGTTAGTGACAAATTAACCTGTCAATGTTAGGATGAATACATCAGATTGTAGGCGGTGACGCCTTTGGCAATAATTGTACAATAATAAAAATAACTTTCTCGATGATCGACGATACGAGTTTTGACGTGTTGTAGAACAAATTTGTGTCATAACTTATTTATATGACTAAGTAGACATATAGGAACGTTATACGTCTGTCATATTTAGCTTCTAAACACAAGCGATTGTCGCTTTGTAATGGACAAAAAAGCTTGAAATATTTAATGTTACAATATGCAACAATAAAATGCAAAATACACATAACAGCCAATTATAGCAGTAAATCAGAAAAATCAAAGAAATTAAACGAATAAAATTTTAAATCTCTACGTACCCACATACTTAATTACAAACATTCGTGACTATATTTATGAATAAATATTATTCAAATTATACTTGAACAGTATTCGAGGCTCAATTTAAAGTTGCCAAATTTGAAAACAGGTTAGACACGAGTGAAAGTTACCAGGTCAATCTTATCTAGCGGTAACAGAGTAAATAAAAGAAAGTATTAACAAAATAGGTTATGAATATATATCATGATCATCATAATTACAGAACTCTATGCATTCGGTAGTACTGGAATAACTTATAATAATACTGTTTATTATCTAGGTAGTGACCTAACTTCTAAGGAAAACCTTCTTTCTAAGGAGAGGCCTATGTCCAGCAGTGGACTATTAAAGGCTGTTGATGTGTGATGTGTGTGATGTGACCTAACTTAAGTATTCAAGACCACAATGATCTAACCACGCAGGAATGTGCAGACAAGTTTTTGAGCGTAAAGTACTATAGTACTATATTTACACGAACCATTTCATTTCATTTTTATCGTATAATTTTAGAAAAACATGGACCTATGCATATATCATAGATGCATGTAAGTAATTGAGTATATTCTGTATTGGAACTACCACGATGTATTTTTGCCATCAAATCAGCAACTTAAATGACTAAACACACTGGATTGCCCACCAAAAACAGTATGATACTCCTGAGTTACAATAAACATAAACACACAATTAACCACTTTTCTATTTAATTTTAACCATTAAACGAATTGCCGAGCAAAGGTTGGTTATATAAAGGACTGTGTTAATATATACATTACGAAACTATTAATTAGTTCTAGTACTAAATGAAATGAAGACACAGTTTACCAATGAATTTTGCTTAAAGTTCGAAATGTTTGCTTTTGTTGTTGTTAGTTGTGTATGTATAGGTAAACATCAGTATTACTTTGGATATATTACAATTTATGTTAGTATCTTGGAAATCAAGTAATGTGATTAGTGTAAAAAGACATTCTATAAGTTCTGTGACATTTAACTACAATCATTTAAATCATCATCAACATCATCCTAGCTGAAAGACGTCCACTGGACATCCGTCCGTTTCCGAACTGGACATAGGCCACTCCAAGGCTCGCCACAACAACCGGTCCTGTGTTGCCCGCATCCAAGGGATCCCCGCAAGACTGTGGGAGAGCCACAAATAGGCGAGACTCAACTGGAGTCGTACCACGGCCTCACAAAAAACTGGCACTTTACGGAAGCGTCGCTGAGCTCACACTACTCAGGGCCTCAATTCTGCTATTTTATGTTCCAAGCCACTGTCATACCACTGACACGCTATTGAGATGCCATCGACTGGCCATTGGCATCGGTATAAATATCGCTAGTCAAAAGTCAAAATATCGTGGCGGTTCGTTGCACGATCGGTGCAATTCGATCGAAACGTTGATTACCAGAAAAAGGTATTTTACCTTGTAGTTGTTATCGCGAATAAGTCCCGGCTTACACATCTAAGAACTATGTAAATAACTAAGTAACATGTGGTATGTATATTTTTTGCTTTGTAAGTAGCTTTGACTACCGAAGCTATATATATATTTTAAAAAAAATAACAAATCGTTTATTCAAGTAACATTTGACTCATTTAGTTAGTAACAAAAAAAACTTACTAACTATCTTAATCCATATCTTGAATGTATGTATACAAATCCCTACCACAACTTTACAACCGAGGTAGAAATCCTGTAGCAGCGGTTCCCATACACACAGTCGAGCCCGATAGCAATGAAAAAATGCTGTTTAATGGAAATCAGGGATGCGCATCTCTTACTCATCGTGGTATACGAGTAAAAACAGTCCACACGAACCTCAGCAAATATTACTGATGCGCTGCAATACAAGGGCAGCCCCATCAACACCCGGAATGCGTCATTATATTGTATCCGAAGGGCGTTGTACGATTTTTGTGAGTGACTTACCCACAGCGTGCAATTGTAGAACGATGCGCAATAAGCTTGAAATAGAGTTATTTTTACCTGACAAGAACAACAGGCAAATCTGCGAGCTATCATGTTTGCTCTTGCTGACAGCGCCCTTCGCTCCCTTTCTATATTTTCATTGTTTTTAAGTTCGGCGGACAAGTAACGTCCGAGGTACTTGAATTGTCGTACCCTGACAAGTGGTACGCAATTTAATTTGACTGCAGGTATGGATAGAGAACATCGGCAGCCAGCCTTAAAGACCATCATCATCATCACATCAACAGCCTTTAATAGTCCACTGCTGGACATAGGCCTCTCCTTAGAAAGGAGGTTTTGGCCTACTTACTACTAAAGACCATAGCTTCACATAAACATATCCATAATCACGTAGTTGCTTTTGTAATTGCTACACTCTCTTCTTCTTAGATCTCGTATTAAACATACAATGTGTTTGTTGTTCGGTTGGTCTGTGGTCTACTATTTTTTAAATTTGTAAACATGTATTTTTTATTAAGTGTATGTTTAAAAATAAAATTGATATGTATATAAAAAAAAAATAAAGAGATTAATAACATTTTCGGACATCTAAAACACAAAGCCATCTAAGCGGAGCTTGTACTACGAAAGGTGGATTGACTGATGAAATACCTACATACTTTTTTGTAAAAAAAACATAGAAACACCCAAACTCCGAAACAAATATTTGCAGATCATACAAATATTTCCTCCGACCCGGGAATGGCACCCGAGTATTCAGCACAGCAGTCGCATACCGGTGATATACCGGTGCTTAGGCCTTTGTTTGTACAATACTACATAAGCAGATAATCGAAGATATAAATAAAGGTAAACAGATATGACTATCTTATCGTATCGTATTTAGTGTCTACTCGGGCACCCTTTTTATCATATCTTGTTTTTTTTTAATGTTCTATAGGATATTTTGATTGTATAAATATAACACAGGTCATTTTCCATTCCAATTAGGGTTACATAAAACGGTTAGTCAAGAATATTAAAAGTTTCTTTTGTAAATAAGTAGGGTTGTCAAAATTCTATAGGTTCTAGTAACATCGTTGTTATAAAAACCTTCGTTTTACAAAAAGTGTCAGACCAGGCCAGCTCAAGCCAGCTTGAAATCTTAAGTAACAGTAGAGGCAGACCGTTAGGTATGTAAGGTAGCAAGTAAAATCGTTTTAAAGTAATATCAGCTAAATGAAACAATAAAATAGTAGTAGTAACAGTCGGTAGTCGCTTTCCACCGACTGCTCGTTTTCCCGTTCCCAAAAAAATACTAATTGTATAACATTTTTGATTGACAAAACAAAACATAGCCTAAAATGAAACTATTTTAACATAATAAAATGGACTCGCAAGGATTATTGCTCACGGTATAATAATATAGGACAATATTGTTACACCTTGTTAGTCTATTTGAAAAAAAAACACCCAAAGGCCCAAATTTGTGTTATTTGTCCAAATTATGGTATCAAAATTTCTTGTCCTATATTGTCTTTGATACTTGAATAGCCCTTAGTAGTCGAGGCGGGTTTTATGGGGTAGGGTCAAGTTTTCTTTCTCTTTGCAGTGCTGAGGGCTAAGTACGAGTTTATTTCACATCAGCTCGCTCTCGGCAGCGAGCGCGTTCTTATTTAAGTGCGGTTAGTTAAGATTTAAGTGCAGGCCAATGGTAATGCCGAACACGGTCACCGTGACGATCGAGTAGATGTGAAATAAACCCGCACTTGGCCCTCTATTGTCCTGAATAGTTTGTTCCCTTATTCGGCTCTTACGACATACACGGGATGAATAGGGATGGCGACACTCCGTATTCTCAATCCATCACCATACGGATTGACACTTCGATATAGTAGAGCCAAACAAAAACCTTAAGTTAGAACTGGTTCTTAACAAAAATATAAAGAGGCAAACAAAAGGTAAAGTCCAAAATATACTAGGAACTAATTTACTGAAAACTCTTGATAAAATTAACTTATCATCATAATATATTTATAAAAATCGGAATGCTGAAACAGTTTGTT